TGAGAAGCTCACATCTCCACCCGGACCATTGATGTACATATACAGCCGTCTGGAAGATTCGATACTATCAAGGTACAACATTGTTGCCAGTATTTGGTTGCTAAATTCTTCATCTATATTTTGCCCAATGAAGATAACACGTTCCCGATACTGCCAACCAAGAAATCATCAAAAACAACTAGGAAAAACAAAATGTAAATCAGGTAGGAAACTATTCAAAAGCAAAATTATCCAAGTCACCCATATGTAGACATCAACTCACATGAAGGGAAGATAGACTATGCCGTTCTGTATAGCTCACACAAAACATCAATTCACCCTCTCTATTGATTTTGTAATCTTGTGTATGAAATTTAGTTGATCTTTTGTTTCAATTTTCAAAGTTTCTTTTCTTCATGTTAGTTAATTATCTGCTTTGTTTTTAGGTCCTTCAATCTCAAAGAACTACTATTTCAGATCAGATGAAGGTCAAAGTTGGTCGGATAAAGTTATCTAATGAAGACAGTGATCCATGGAACTCCAAGTTGGCAATGGAGATGAGAGTACTAAACCCATGGTGTGCGCCCTGAATACACCAATTGTTATTTCGAGGTCATAAAATAGCTAATACACTCGCTTATAAGAATAATAGCCTTTGAGACTTACAAGGGCATTCCATATATCAACCCATTGCCAGGTTCCTTCAGTAGGATTTCTATAGGGCACTCTTGGCGTCCCTATAGGCATCATTGCAACTCGGGCTCGTGTTGCTTTACCATCACAAGTCCTGGAAATGGAACAATGAATCAATATGGAAAGAATCAAATATATACAACTACTAGATTTTCGTGGCAATACAATATCAAAACAAAAGACTACCAAATGACAATATTGTTTAATTAGCAGATTCATAAAAGCAAAATGACATGCCAACTATTTCAAGGCTTAAATCGCCATGTGTATATTATATATGATGCGAGCGAACCTAGACATAACAGTTTTCTACTTTTGTCCCATGAAAATGCACATCTTTAAAGGCTCAAGGTTGAGTGAAATTATCAAGAAAATTCATAAAGCGCACTAGAGCAAATGCACGGTAGATGAACAATTGTAAGACACCAATACTCAGACATAATCAATCGAGTACCAAAGAATTATAAATATAAGAAAAGACGGCACGGAAAAATAAACTAATGAAATTGCCAAGAAACAGGATATTTCAAAAAAAAAATAGTCAATAAAATAGAAAATTTTACACTGTCCGCTTGCCCCAAAATCTTAAAAAAGGAAATGAAAGAACATGGAAGATAGAGAGATTAAAAAGTGCTTATTATGTCTTGAATACTATGCCTATGTAGCACTATAATGCAACATATTAAACATTTACACACATATGGTCAAATTTATTGCCTCACCAGCCTAAAAAATCTGCTTCATGCCACACAACCTTATACAAGCAAGCTGCTTCAGTGAAACTCTTCCCCCGCCCCTCAACAAAAAACACAACAACAAGTGCAAAAAAGGGAGGTGGGGGGCAGCAAAGAAACTGGTAAACATGCTCTATCTTCATTAGAAACACACCCATGATTCACCGGTAAAAATGTGCCAATCCAAGATTCTATTTTCTTTTTCTTTTTTTTTTTTGCAACAACAAAATATCTACACTCTAAATTATACATTTGTCTCTATGAAAAATACTCAAATTCAAGTCAAATCATTTTAAACACTATATCATTCATCTGGTGATACCTAACTATCTACTCAGGACTAACACAAAAATATTACACTACTGCGGATTTAAACATCAATAAACTACACTATTTGGGTGCGAAGATGAATACCCATATAAAAGAAAGACAAATAATACCTGGATTCGATACTCCTATGTACTTTATTGTAAAATTCAACATTCAGGTTGGGTTTTGCACTTCCCCAAGAATCTGAAAGAAGATCTATACGTTAAGTTTAACAATTTAAAGCAAATTAACTAAGACAGAAAAGTAAACAAAATAATGGGATAAGAGCAGAGACTTGGAGATTGAAGCCTTAACCCTACAAAAACCTTGCTTCCACAGCTGCCAAAGAAAAGAGTATATCACAGAAGTCATTTTTCAGATCCCACAGGGTACCGATAAATATAAAGAGAGACAGAGTGTGTGCGTGTGTTTGTGCGCGTTGAGAGAGAGAGAGAGAGAGAGAGAGAGAGAGAGAGAGAGAGAGAGAGAGGGAGAGACAGGAAACCTGAGGGAAGGTCGAGGAACTCCAGTTCTGGATTGTAGATATGACGACGGACCGGTGGTAGGAAGAGAGGCTGCCATTGTGCTTGTGCTTGTGCTTGTGCGTGTGCGTGTGTGTTGAGAGAGAGAGAGAGAGCGAGTGGTTTCGGAACAATGAAGAGATTGTCCAGATGGTTGGAGAGCTCAGAGTCCGAAGCCTACTCCAACCCGATTAACAATGTACTCGGACCCCCACCCGACCGAATTAGCATTTCCAAGTATTCCTTCAATGTCTACTATGGTTTTTTTGGGAGAATTATATTATCACGAGGTCTGTCAATTAATCGCTCGTACTCTTAATATTTAAAATATTATATACATATCCCTTAAAATTTATATGTACATAACACTTAGATCCTTACTGTAAATATATCTATTAATAAATTACACCAGACCTCCTGAAGTTTGTAAATATATATTATTTAGAATATTGAAGTTTAAAATGTTATACTTAAACTAAAAATACTTCCATCAAAGATAAAATATCAAATATTTTAAATTTTACAATTAAAATTCATGTTTTATTGTATCATTTATTGAAATAAAATAAAAATTTAATCTTTTTCTTAAAAATTGTAATTAGTATACAATTATATTGTTTATTAGAATTTAATTTGGTCTTTTAAATGACCAAATTAAAATACCAATCTACCCAATTAAAGTTAAAATATATTGTGTCTATTACAGTTTGACCCCTTCTTTAATTTTTTAGTATAATTATATACTAACTATAATTTGTTTTAAAAAAAAATTAGATTTAGATTTTTAATTTTAATTTTATTTCAATAAATAACATAATAGAACATGAATTTTGAATGTAAAATTTATGTTCTATTATGAATAACTTAGACCCCTTGTTTGATTTTTTAATTTTATTCTAATAGATAGTAGTATAACTATATACTAATTACTATTTTTTAAGAAAAAATTAAAATTTTATTTTTTAATGTTATTTCAATAAATAATACAATAAAATATGAATTTTGGTTGTAAAATTTAAAATATTTGATATTTTATCTTTAATTGGAGTATTTTGGTATAAGTATAATATTTTAAACTTAATTGGTCTAAATATTATTTACCTACAAACCTCAGAGGAATATAAGTGTAATTTATTAATTGGTATATTTTCAGCAGGGGTCTAAGTGTTATGCGCATACAAATTTTAGGGGTCTGTGTATAATATTTCAAATAGGACATCTGATTAATTAAGTAATAAATCTCAGGGGGTCTAGGTGTAATTATCCCTTTTTTTTACCCCCCAAAGTTCACGCTAATTTTAATTTTGGCCCTTGAATTTTTTAATCAATTTCCCCCTCCAACCTTCTACATAATTTCAATTCAACTTTTTTTTTGCTACAGGTATTCAGGTTTGTGTCCACTATCCCCTCGAATTCAATTACTGACTATTGTAATTTGAGCTAAGTTAGAACATGTCTTTAAAGAGAAAACGGTGGTTAGCCCTTAGGGTTATGAAAAATAATTGAATTTGAGACCTCTAAATTATTAAATATCAAAAAATTAATCTCAGTTCAACTTATCAAATATGATAGTTCATATTTTTATGAAAAAGACATGTCATTTTTCCAAGATGACGTGTGATATTTTTGCAGTAAGTTTATTAAAGAAAGTAATAGATTGAATTAAATTGAAACCATTTTTCAAATTGAATGATGAAATTGATGGACAAAAAAAAAACTGGACTCAGATGAAAATTAGGTGAAACTTGAAGACAAAAAATACAATTAAACCATATTTTTAAGTATTTTTTTTGTTTTATCTTTTTTTTTTGTTAGGATTTTTTTAGTTATTCTCAGATCGAATAAACAATCATTTAAAACCTATACTTATAATAAAACCACTAGAATTAGAAGAGGCAGAGGCAGGGGAAGGTAGGTTTCGAACCTCATCATTTTGATAGGTTAGGACCCACTCAGTGCCATCTTATTAAAAATCATAGGTCATCTTTTCCTATTCCATTTTTGAATTTTAATAATGACAACTAAATCTATAGCCTAACATTTTCCTTTAAATTTTATGCCCCGGTGTCTTTATCTGTGGAATGGATGCCTTTTTTTTCCCCATAAATTCCTTTTCTTAAGAAGGTAAGTGAGAAGAGTGATCTTGGAAAATAATAATTCACTTAAATAACTCACAGTTTCATTTGATAAGAAATCAAATGCAATTTCAATTTGAATTCCTGCTTACTGCTTGATTGGGAGACATTCTCGTCTAAAGGTGAATGTTAGCTTTCTCATTATACAATGACCATTAAGAACAAAGGACCAATGACAACAACCATGAACATAGGCAGAGGGAGGTAGGGCTAGAGTGGGCACGTGCCCCCCTAATTTTTTTTTTTTATTAGTTAGATATATATATTATATATTTATTTAAAATAATTAAAAAATTAAGTCTATTTAAAACAAAAAAAATTAAACTCACTCTTATCTATCCAAACTTATTAAAAAAAATCAAATATTTGACCTATCACAATCCACTCAAACCTATTAAAAAAACAAAACTTTTAGCTCAACATTAAAAACAAAATTTTTACCCCGACATTAAAAATAAAACTTTTGGCCCACCATCATTAAAAAACAAAACGTTTGGGCTACTTAACTAAAACTTATCTTATCTTTCTTTTTTTTCTCTCTCTGTATCGCTCACTCCCATATGTTATATAGTGTGATTGGTTAGAAGGAAAAAAATTAGAGTGCACAATTAAAGTACCCACTCTGAACAACATTCCTGGCTTTACCCCCGACCATGAAGGAGGAGTAGGAGTTAGTTTTAATTAAAGTAGGGGCAGAATCAAAACAAAGAGAAAAATTCACTCAAAAAGGAAATGTTTGAATAATTTTTCTTTAAGAAGGGAAGGAAGAAGAGTGATCGTGGAAAATAACAATTCACTTGTATGTCTGAAAAAAGGGAAACATAGTTAAAGAAAATTATTCAACCATTTCCTTTTCGAGTATGAAGTAATACTTTAACAATGAATGCTAAAATAGATCTTCCAAAGAGAGAGCAGCTAACTAGTGCCTTTCAGGCGTCCTTGGAGTAGTCTCGTAGTTCATAACGGGTGGAGATAATGGGGTAGGTCAATGGATTCTTCTTCTTTTAGCCGTATTTCTCAATGAAAATGACAACAAAATCACACAAATTTCTTGGATGTCTTGTTCAAGAATATATTAGTGATCCGTACTAACAAGCAGCAAATGTCTCAGGTAAAAGTCCATGACTTTTATAACTACAAACGTAGCAATCATAAACTGGGAACGAAAGAAAGGTAAAACCAAACTTGATTCTGTCAATGATCAGAATCAAGCGGGCTTCTCATAGGTATTCTGATCTCGGAACTCCTTAATGGCTTCTCGTATCGTTCCAGCAACATCGGATCTTACAAATATATGAGTACTATCCAAGACATATATTATGAACTTCTGGGATTGGGGCAATGAAGCATTCAAGTTGATGATGAATTGCGCCATGGGTATGTCACTGTCAGAGTAAGACCAGAAGATGGTAAGAGTAAGAAAGACCAGGGAAGAATGCAAGCAAAAGATGCCAGTGGCATTGTGAAAAGCATGGACTACTCGTAAGGACCTTTAAATTGTTCCCTTGATAAGCAATGCATGCTCTTCAAATCACATCAAAAAGATATTAATGCAATGCTAGTAAACCAAATCATACCAGTTGCTAAAATCCATGCTTAACAATTTTAACAGCTGCTCTACTTCAAATCACATCAAAAGACAAACCCGCAGGTCAACCATTACAGATAATACAACTTGTAAAAATCCATGACTTGACATGGTTGCATTTCTTCAAACCCCTAACTATGTCTTGCAGCTATGAACAGATATTAAGTTCATCAAAAAAAGGTGGGAAGGACCATGAAGTTGGTGGGGTCTCCGTTGCCTCTAAACAATTCTTAAATCAAGTATTCACAGCACTGGTGTGAGCAACACCAGGCCAACCCCCAGCCCATAAAAAACCAAGTAGTGAACCACTAAACAGAGAGAAGCACACACGAGATGAGAAGTGAGTGTAAGGTAAAGCTTTAGGTCAGAAACAGTATTTTACCATGAAATTAATAATCCTTTGATGACGTTTACCATGATTTAGCAATAATTGTAGAAGCTTGAGCTGCAGCACAACACAATGGCAGTGGATAAGATAATCATAACTATTCACCATAAGGGCATGGGCATATAACACCTTAAAAAATCATCATAGCAAAACAATGGAACAAAGTGAAAACAGAGAACTGTTTTTGCAACAGTATCCTGTTAACCATTTGTCAACCAGATTAAAAGCACTTCACTGCACATAACTCCTAATTTCAGCACACAACTAGCTAAACTCAAATGTTATAAATCGCTTACATCATAGACTCACTATTTCTGTATTAAATGCTACAGATAACATCCAGTTCATTGTACAGTGTAAGGATAAAGAGCACAGTTGTGAGTTCAAACACAAAGGCAGCTAATAATGTCAAATGTTAGTTATGTATCCATTTTATGCTATCAGTGGCCAAACTGCATAGAATAATCTTGTTTTAAGTGCTACTCATACCATCCACATAACCTGAATCTTATTGAAGTGTAAAATGGCAAGCTCCATCAACTTATAATACTAAAACTACAGCTTTACCGGGTTTGAAAAACAACACTATGCAAGAATAATCTCTAATTGCACTATAACAAATCAAAGAACACCTCTAAGAAGATCATTAAAAACTAAGGTTGCGTTTGGTAATGTTTTCGTTTTCATGTTTTTAAAAAAAAAAATAGAATTAGCTTTTATTTTGTTCTGTGGTTAAAAGTTGAAATAGGAAGCGTGTTTGGATGCAGTTGTTGTTTTAAGAAATTTAAAAACTAAAACAGAAGACATGTTTGGTAACCAATTTATTTTATGGCATATATTTAACTTTATATTAATTCATGCTAAAGCACATTCACATTTTTATATCAATACATCCATCAACCCATAAAAAATGCAAAATACATCCAAACATTCAAACTTATAACACCCTCTCAAATCCCAACTAGTTACATTAAAACATAAAACTAACCAAAATGTCTACTTTACACCATATGTCTGAAATACAATCAATAAGTTCATAGAATAACGAATGATATAAGCATTTAACATAACCAAATTGAGCATTCTTTTACATGTTCACTGAATAATGCATAGAAAAAGCCTACATGCATATGAACTCAAATGAAAAGCCTCCAGCCCAATAGATGAATACAAATCAATTTGTGTCTATGTTACGTGCACAATTTTGAGGAATTTAAAAAATAAACAAAAAATAGAATCGAGGAAGAAAACCCGCTTCGAGGGGGGGGAAAACCTCCAATGGTTCAATTCGAGAAGAACCTGTCTCCAAAACTTCACAAGAAAGTTCAATATAATATTCATCATATTTATTTCATTGATAGGAAGATCTTTAAATACAAGATAATAAAACTACTTTAATAACTAATTTGACCTATGACTCCATTATCGTAGTAACCACCTAGAAAACAACTCATAAAATACTCTACCACTAACTCAATTTCAAAAAGAACTCCCTAATAATTACCTCAAATGCTACATAAAAATATATTAAAAATGTGCACATAACATTCAATTTCCCTTTTCAATAAACTTTATCCTCAAAGTTTGATTTATCATGTACATTGGGAGGCGGCCAACCCACTTCCTTGTCCTTGTAACAATCAAGGAGATATTTGGCTTCATAGACTCCAAAAATACCCACGCTAATGATCCAGAAAGCTAGATTTATATGAGCAGTGTGAACATACTCCATCAATTGCTCGTCCTTGTAATAGGCAAGGTCATAAACAATTCCTAGGCATACCTTGCAATCTGTTGGTTGCAAGTTTGAGTCCATCGACTCCCAAAATTTAGTCTTTTGTGTTATGCCTTCAAGAAGAGGAACTTCTACATAGGTACACCAAAGGCAATGCGAACCTTTGATTCTCTTGCAGTTGACCTTTAGCCTTGTCCCAGTGGAACACTTCTTCAACTTCTCATCAGCAGAGCATTTTATTTTATGATTACTTGATGGATGATCAATTGATGTATTTTGCTTGGCTTGGCAAATCAATGTGGCCGTGGGACCTTCGTTGCCATAGTATAATGAGAAATTTAGCTTTGAAATTGTGCTAGTTAGAGGGTTAGCTGATCCAACAGAAACACAAGATGGGTGGCCTTTATGTTTACCTCCTTCATTGTGATGGGTCGACCATTCGTCTTCCTCATGATAATGACCTTGTTCGGCCATTAACTGATTAAAGCGAGAATTCATGGCAAGAAATAATTCATGCATCTTTTTCATTATCATCTTTTGCCTAATAATTAATGAGTGAACTTTCGCTTCAAGTCGATCTACTCGATTCTCCATCCCTGACTCTGATATCAATTGTTACGTGCACAATTTTGAGGAATTTAAAAAATAAACGAAAAATAGAATCGAGGAAGAAAACCCGCTTCGAGGGGGGTGGAAACCTCCGATGATTCAATTCGAGAAGAATCTGTCTCCAAAACTTCACAAAACAGTTCAATATAATATTCATCATATTTATTTCATTGATAGGAAAATCTTTAAATACAAGATAATAAAACTACCTTAATAACTAATTTGACCTATGACTCCATTATCTTAGTAACCACCTAGAAAACTGCTCACAAAATACTCTACTACTAACTCACTTTCTAAAATAACTCCCTAATAATTACCTCAAATGCTAGATAAAAATATATTAAAAATGTGCACATAACAGTCTACTGTCTAGTATGCAATATCCTAAATAAGTCAAATAATCTAAAAGCCTACTGTATGCAATGTCCGAAATTATCATAATAATCCTAATTCTCCTGTTATATGCAATAGATCCACCCACCCACCCACAAAACTATAGACCCTAATTGAAGGTGGCATTTATTCAAACACCTTATGTGCATGTATTTGTTAAGTGTAGAAAGCCATCAACAAATCACATTTTTCCACACATAAACACACACGCACAATACAACACTCACTCAGCCACAACACAGATGCACACAACAAACACACACACACTGAACTAAACACACACACTGAATTAGCAAGACAGACAACACACACTCACACACACTGACCCAGCCACACAGATGCACACACAACACACACACAATGACCCGGCCACACAGACGCACACACAACACTGAACACAAACATCTTAAATGGAGATGAAAAAAATCCCTAAATCCTAAACCCTAGATCTGAAATTGAAATAAAAAATATCTAGATCAAAAATTGAAAAAAAACCCTAAATCTAAAATTGAAATACATGGATACATATATTTATAAATCTATACATAAAAGGTTAGATATATACATAAATAGGTCAAATCTATGCATATGTATACATATATGTGTGTGTGTGTGTGTGTGTCTATAGATTTTCAAAAATAAAAATAAATATTACCTTTTCGAAGTTAGAGAGAACCGCCAGAGAACAGAGTAGCGCCGCAGAGGAGACCAACCTACTCCTAGTGGAGAGGGTCTTTGCTTTGACAGGCGAGAGACAAGAGAACAGTAGCTTCACTTCAGACGACGAGAGAGAGAAAACAAGAGAGATGAGAGGATGAGAATGAGAATGAGAAATTTTCATAGTTTATATAGTCGGGCAAATATTCCCTTAAATTGCTTCTAATGAAGTTCGATGGCAAGACCTCATTTAACCCTTCTCCCTCTGTTTTCGCTTTTCCCTGTTTATGAAAGCACTTGTCTTCATGTTTTCAATATTTGAGATTGTTTACAAAACAAATTGGCCCAAAAAAAAATAAAAACGCATTCCAAACACATTTTTAGAGTGGCATGAATCCTTTCAAGCCAAGCTATGCCCCTCTTCTACCTTTGAGCCAAAATAGGCTTGGGAAGAGTAACAGTTCCTTTCCTGGCTGGGCTATAGAAGAATCCACCATTGCACTGTCAAGTAGTGCTTCGAAATGCGAAGGGAGATGAACTGGACCACAAAGGCAGAAGGATTAGTGAAATATCAGCAGTGTCGTTTGTCACAGAGGCTGAGAGAGATACATATCTTATGATTCAAGCCTGAAACTTACGTACTTCTGCAGTAGAGAGTGTGAGTAAGGAGGTGAAAACTTGCACTTCTGCAGTACATAAAACAAATGGGGCTTCAACATAAAAAATAAGACAGCAGAGCTGTTTTGTTACCCTTCTGTCTCCCCCCCTTCTCCCACAAAAAAAAAAAAAGAGGAAAAATAATCATCACAAATGCTCAAAACCTTAAACTGGACAAGAGATCAATGAAATAGCTCGATCATACAACACTAAGAGAATTTGGAATCGCAATCAAAGCTCAAGCCAAGGAAATGAACTTCTTAAACCTAGCACCCCCTCAAATTATATCAATTACAAAAGACCCCATCTTGTAACAATGCAGTGCCTCAATGCCAATCCTTGACACCATGCCAAAGCTGATGGCGCTTGATATCTCCACCATAAAGCAAGAGAATGGAAGCTACAGTGCTTCCTCATCGTCTTCCAATGCACTAAAGATCACCCTGCAACAAATTTTCCCAAAAAAATATAGAACTTGATTAGTTTCGAAAGTGCAAAGTTTTAATTGTAAAATAAAAACTTGTATGTGTCACAATACCAAAACAGGGAGATGCAAATGAGAAGAATGATATAGGCAAGCTTGAAAAGCCGTTGCTTCTTTTCCCAATCGAGCAAGTTGAAGATCTCAGTTACGTCAGTGAGGTGCTTTCTTTGCATGTATCTCATCCCATGAAAAAGATCAGTCAGAATAAGAGGGTCATTTACAGTGAATCCATTACTTACAGACAATAACGAACTTAACACACATTCATGAGATGAAAGAATGATGTGTCCGTTTAACTTAACCACAAGTTAGTACATAAGTTCTTTTGGATCTAAATCATAGAACAGCTATGCAATGAAATAAAATTGATGAGCTTTATAACCCAGTAACCTGCTCCTCACCATATGCTATTTTTTTATTCATTTTTCAAACGGAGATCTAAACCATAATATGTCCTGGAAAGGTTAAAAAAAGTTCAAAACTAAAAACATCCCACCCTTATATACAGGTTATTAGCTAATCTCCATTAAACAGGGTTCATCTCTAATCAAACCCTTACATCTGCATGTTCCAATGCAACAAAGAATCGTGGGAAAGGAATTTTGTAAGAGGTCAAGCTCCACAACTTGGATTTCCAAAAAGTGGGAATCTTTGAGATGTAGCTCTGTCGCCTTTCAAAGCAGGAGAAGCTCTGCTGAGTGCCAGCTTTCCTCTCCACAGAGATGGATGAAGGCAAGCATCTCTTGCACAGAATATATATCACCAAATGATGGCGTAGAAGTATGCCACAGAAGCACTCACTAATTTGCGCAGGCAAAAATAATAAGTCAACCCTTGGCTGAACATGTGAAGCTAACACAAATATAGGAACCCACATGCTATAGAAAGAATGTGTAATGTATGCGCGTGCATGTGCATTTGCCTGCACCTCTAAAATTGGGTAGACCTCAGTCACCCTAATTTAAGGTGAGGGGCCAGGGGGCTGAGAGAACTTACAATCTTGCATTGTAGTACAGGTATGGAACACTCAGCAGTGACATAAACCAATGCCCCGTTACAAGACACAGGATGCATAAAACTCCTTGCATGATAAATTCTGGCAAAACCACTCTGTTTATCCGAGATGCAGAATCATAAGGGTTGACATAATCAAACTCAAGATCCGTTAAGCACATGAGCTGCAACAAATTTATCAAATGTGAGATTCCATATTCTAAACCTACTTAAGTCAAAAGGTAACTCCCAAATTTCAATACATGCTCTTTGTTAGCTGCTTTAGAAATTGAACCATTTGGTATCCCCAACTATAGGGATGTTTAAGTTCTAGGAAGCAAAGTTTACTATATTCTACCTGAACCAAGCATGGTTATATGATATAAGTTTCTCCATTCTCTCTCATCTACCATACTTGATCATTGCCAATAAAAATGACAACACATGGGGTAACTGAATTCCTGCATTGAGTTTATACTGCCAAGAAATCAGAAAAAATCCAAAGAAAGCCATATATACATCCACCAAAAAGACTCTAATTGGGAGACAACAGATTGAATGGCTAGATCATTCAAAATTATCTTAATTAATTAATGAAATGATGATCCCCAATGTAAACTAAGCCAAACATCATAAAGTTAACCCATTATACCCAATTGGGCCAGCAATCATACTCAGGTGCTAAGTCACATAGAGCAGGATTGGGGGCAGGGACGGAAGCGGAAGCGCAAAAGCGAAAAAATTCAAAAATATCTTAGGGTGGGAACGCAATATCTTAGAATGGGAATGCATTGAGAGCATCATACTATATATATACATACATATTAATATGTATAAAATTTATCAAAAATATAATTAAAAAATAAATTTTATATACAATTATATAATAAATCATTTAAATTTGTTTAACTATTAATTTGGTTTGGAAATAACAGAGTGAATTGTTAAACAAAAAGTTGGCAACAACACATATCTTTCGAAGCATTTTTGTGCCTCGGACAACATCCCACATTGAATAGACATGAGAAGCCGGTGGCAACTCATGCCCGTAAGATGTCATGGCTTCCTGTTCTTCAGCTGCTGCATGTGAGGCTACTTAGCTGGAAAGCGGAGGTAGCCTTATTAATATTTGGGCCAGCCAAGTGTAAACCCTTGGGTTTTTGACTTGGGCTTGAGTTTAAATATATAATTAGCAAATTTATTCTTTGAATTCGCGAATTTTGTGGAATGAGAATGTGATATGTCGATTTTGCTCTTAATATGCGAATTCATGCTCCGAGCGATGGATCATGAATGGTGGCTGGCGAATTATGTGACTAAGCTCAAGAGTAGTATTTGGTCAGTCAATGCAACAACCACATTTTGTGACATGGACTCGTAACCCAGTCCTATTCTTGCACGTGATTGGATACTACAAATCTAATATTCAATGGACCTCTCAAATTCAAAAGAGATTTCAAGCCATTTCTCTCATGAATCTCACCTAGTTCATACTGAAATACATTTCTCAAAGGGAGGAGAAGGTGGAGGTTAGAAAGACGCCCAAAAGATTAAGAAAACATATGCATTAGTCATGAGACCTCTTTCTTAATCTACAAATCAGTTCTTTACCTGAGGTGCGGGAAAATTGAGAAACTTTGGAAATGATTCTATCAGCAACCAACACATAATTCCCACTGTATGTGTGAGAGATTCCTCTCCAGACAAGATCCAAGGACCTTCATCTCGTTTTGCAACATGGACTACAAAGAACCAAGGTTTTCGCATGTTTCCTCACGTAAAATGATGCTTTAATATTAAAATACTTTTTGTCACCATTTTGTTTTCAGAAGTGAATTATTGCCACTGGTAACCCAAAACAATTCAAATTTCAAAGCTCTGATTCAACAGCCCACAGCCAAACCTCTCAAACTTTTCCACCTGAATTTTGTTTTATATTTAGAGCTCCACCATTTGAGAATTCAGGCATTTTGCAATGTAATTTTCAATATACTATGAAGGTTGATGATCAAGTACAACTGAATAAGCAAGGACTCAGGTCATTGCTTTGTACCTAGGCTTTACATAAAGTAGCACTCTGACTCTAGACAATCATGGCTAGATAAATCCAAACATGATTAGGGAAATACAAGTTCATTGAATTTCTCGAAATAAAGTCACTTGGTAGCCATGATAACACTGAGGTAGCAAGTTTCAAAGAGGCATTATTCTTACCCCCTAATTAAAATGATCCACAACCCCTTATCCCTTTGCATAATTATAATAATTAAGGGTCTATATAATGGATTACCTAGCTTATGAATTAGGAGAGAATATGGGTAGATATCCAGAAAATGGTAGGTAAAATGGTAAGTTTACAGACCCTTACTGGCTCACCAAGCCAAGCACTCCCCATTTGCTATCAGAACTAGGCTCATCATAAATCATGGCAATGTTTTATATACCCGTCAAATGATTGAAATGTAAGAGAAATAAAGAGAAAGAGAAATAAATCAATCAGAGAAAATTATACAAGCTATTAGGGTTTTAGGGGATTGACCTGGTAAAGAACAACGATAAGAAGAGCTACGAGAACGAAGAAGAACGCCAGCCATGTCCACACATCTCCCATTCTCTACTCCCTCCCTCCCTCTCTCTCTCTCTCTCTCTCTCTCTCTCTCTCTCTATCTATCTCTTACCACGATAACCCCCAAATGAAAATCGAAGAAGCTAGGAATCGATACCACCAAAGTGGGAGTTCTGAATGGAAGTAAAGAATCGGACGAATACAGAGACGGTCGGAGTACAAAGCCAAACTGTCTCTCGCCGACGACAAGTAAATACTCGCGGTGTGCTGCTAGTCAACCAACTGTTTCGGCCGAAGGACATGGCTAGGGTTCGACCAGATTAAATGAAAAAATTACACTTTGACATCTCATCTATAGCTCTGATCTCACTATGTCCTATTGGTTATTGAATTCCCCACATTGTTACCGAAACACTTGAAAAAAATGTGATTATTGATGGTAAAACAATATAACGGTCAAGGAGTCAAAACGTAATTTTTTAATTTAAAATAAAAAAAAAATTACAAGAACTAGGTGAGGATTCCTCTCTATTGCCTCAATTTTTTATTTTGTCAGAATTTATTTTGATTATTTTATTTGGATGCACCAATTAATTACAAAATTGCATTGATGGCCTCTTTCCTAGCTCGTCGGGAAGCTAGATTTGTCTCAATTGTTTTACGCTTTTCTTCAAATTTTTTCAAATTAGCTTCCGCTATTTCAAGAGTTTATGAGTTTCTTATAGATCAATGTCAATGCTCTTCTCCGTATCATTTACTAAAACAATAATCCCATTATTACCTCTGAACTCACTATGTCCTATTGGTTATTGAATTCCTCACATTGTTACCGAAAAACCACTTGAGAAAATGTGATAATTGATGGTAAAACAATATAACGGTTCAGAAGTCAAAGTATAATTTTTTCATTTAAAATTACAAGAATTATGTGAGGATTCCTCCCTATTGCCTCAATTTTTTTTTGTTACACGGTATCTAGACTTACACTAACTACTTTTTCGAACTCAACAATTAGTCACTATGACTTAAACTGAATTAAAACATGGTCTTAAAGGGACGAAAGTGGTTAATTCTTAAGAGACGTGGAAAGTTATTAAACATGAAACCCTAAATTACTAAAGATTAGACTCAAACACTGAAATGTCCCTAAGAATTTCTATTGCCTCATCCTTGTTGAACTAATAAGTCTCTCTTTTTTCCTTTTCTTGCGAAAACACGTTAAACCAAAACTAGTTTCTTCTGTTTCAATCAAACTACTTCTCCTCCCATAGTTTATTCTGTTTATTTTGTTTAGGTGAGGGTATAAAAAAAAGTTTGTATTTTATATTGAATAATTAGAATCGCTTAAGTTTAGTTTGTAGTTGAGGCTCTACAACCCCCATAAGCAATTAATTTTAAGTTAGATGCTCTAACACAATATCAGAGTAAGATTTGAAATGGTCAGTAGACCAAATCTCTTACCTATTTGAATTTTTTTATAGGCATATATGTCTATTAGTCCCATGTGTGAGCCTGAATCCCATGCTAGGGAAGGTGTAAGAGAATCTAGATCTCACATCAAATGACTAGGATCATTTAAATTTGGTTTATATGTATAAAGCGCATCTCCACTTATTACCAATTGTTGTTGGATTGAATGCTCTAAGAAGGTGGCTTTCCGAAGTATCCATAAGTATGTGAAGTAGGTGACCCAATAAGTCATTAATTTGTGACTCGTGTATGAAAAAACAGTGAAGTGCAAGAAGAAGAGATGGAACATGATTTGCATATGGAAGGCAACCCCCCCCCCCCCCTCTCTCTCCCCCCAAATAATGCATGTAATTAAGGCAAGGGATCGCCACTTATGATGAACAAAGATTGATAGAAACACAAGCAACAATGAATCCATAGAGCTGTACAATACATACATGACTTTAGCGACAAATATGCAAACACTTTGGCTGCCTCCTCCATTGCTTTCCTCAGATCAAATGAGAAGCTATAGCAAGAAGTCCATAAATTTAGTCAATGGAAACGTGGAACTGGTTGCAGCCTTTGCTTCGTCGGAGCAAGATGAATTGGCTTTCCGGCAACAAAAGAAATTTCGTGACCCCAAGTTTATCAACTTTTCCTCCGGCTTTAAGCCTGCACCGTGCATGGTCATATAAGAAATCATGGACTACAATAGCATTATTACGTGATCAAGTAATAATATGTGCTCATCTTGGGGTCATTTCTCAATCTATCTTGTTATATGAGTCAAGAAAAAACTTGAGATCACGGGACGGGTTTTGAAAAGGGTGTAAAAACAACGAATATAGACCAAAATTCTACAAGTCATCTCCTAATGCAATATTAGGTGATACAAATCAAATATAAAACCTATGATAGCTTGTGATTGAATTATAAACATGGTTCTAGGTGGATCAGAACGGCAAAATAAGATTCATTTAACAAATCATATATAATAGTCAGAGACAAATTAATTCCAATGAATTAAGGATTGTCAGCATGAAAAATGTTGCTTAGCTATGCAGTTTTCGAACGATCCATCGAATAATAATTGGGATTGCAACACTAAATCCTACATTTTTTTTAGGTGGAAGAATTCTATACAGATTAATTAGCCCAAAGAGCCCAAGCGACATAGGTGGTGTTTGATAAGCTTTTCCACACTAGACTCGAGCGGGCAAATCAAAGAGCTCTTGCGTCCTTTTGGGGTTAATGTTCTCGATGGTGACTCTATGATTTGATATCTTTGACAAATGAGAGGATGAAATAGGCGGTGTTTGAGAAGCTTTTCCACACTAGACTCGAGGGGGCAAATCAATTAGAGCTCCTGCATCCTTTTGGGGTTAATACTCTCAATGGTGATCGATGATTTGATATCTTTGACTAATGAGAGGATGAAACGGAAGAAAAGTAATGAAATCTATGATGGCTATTGAATAAAACCATCCCTCGGACAGAAATATAATTTTTTTTAATGGTCAGGTATATTTGAGGGTTTACGCGTATCTCATTTAATTAAATTCCCTCTTCAGTGCGTTCAGAGATAAATCATTCCGTAAGAAATAAAATATTTATGAGGAATAAATTCATTATAACTTAAGCATAAAGAATTGTTAATATTCGAATTCATGACGTCTAAATTTAAATTTATGACTCGCTCATATCACTGCTCAAGCTAGAATGATCGGAATACAATTGGTTTAAGAAAAAACAAGCAACTTCTGGTCAGCCAAAAGAATATATTTACAATTCCAGAGAAGATCCTTTGCCCGACAGAACCGATACCTTTGGGCCAAACAAGGGATTTGCTATTACTATATCAAGAAAACTCTCAAAGATACAAAAAAATCGAGAACTTACTCTCCAGACTATAGGATGAATAGTGAAGCTCGAAACACCGAGGATCAGTTTCACTCAACAACGGCCTTCTCTTCTCCTTCACATAAATATCTACAGCCGACTTTGTCAAATCTCGGACGGTGTTTTCCGGCGACATTACCACCTGGATTGGCCCCAAACTATTCTGAATGCTCACGTTGAGCAACAGCTTCGTCAGCTTCTGTGATGTGCCACTGCCACTGACCTTTTGCTGCGTCAGTTTTTTTGGAACGTCGATGAATCCTCCGTGTTTTCGGACGAGCTGAGAGTTTGTAACTGAGTCGGACTTCGCAACTCGACCTCCGTTTGAGGCGGAGAGGTGGCTGACGACGCCATTTGGACGTCTAAGTTGTGGTGGAGTGGTCATTCTCAGAGAAAATTGAACGTTGGAGTGGTTAGGATTCGAAGAGTTTCGAATTTGTGCCTGTGTATGTGAATGTGAGAGAGAGAGAGAAGAGAGCTGAAGGGTGGTTCATTAACCAAATCAAAAGGTTTCTTTAAAAGATATATTTTTAAATTAGTTCATAATCGAATAATCGATACAAACCTCTGCAACATCTAAAAAGTATTTCAATTTTATCAACGTAACTTGGTATTGTCCTTCAATTAAAAAATAATTAAATGAAGTAAATTTAATTTTTTTAAGTGAAGTAATTATTATATTGAATGAATAAATAGTTATTAAATTATATAAAATTTATTTACCCACTTATTATGTTTTTGTTATATTGTAATATTGCATAATTAGTTATAAGATTGATAATCAAACCGAACTATTTAAGTTCCACTCGTTCAGACTTAACTTGTTTACGTATAAATATTCGGATTCAATTCAAATTTGGCGCATTTTAAACTCTTTAAAAAACGGAATAAATTTAAATAATTTTTTAAATTTATTTAAAAAAAATAAGTTCGATAACCTTAGCTCCATTGATTATCAATGCTATTTAGTGGTGTCATATTTACGCATCATTTTGGCCGATACCTAAAGTGACATCATATAATTCGAAGGTTTGTACGTGAATCAGGAATGGCGAAGTTTCTTGGAAATTCTCGGACTGCGGTTTTGCCACTGACATTTACCAAAATTACAATATTACCTAAAGGTTGGAGCAAATGATTATAGAAAAAATAGCAATTTCAATTAAGAAGATTAGGTTCGGATGAAAAGAATGGAAAATGTTAGGGTAAAATATATTAGTAGTCCTTCAAGTATGTATTATGTATTAGTTTGGTCCTCAATTTTGGAATTGTGTCGATTTAATTCCTCAAATTCTCAATTTGTGTCCCTTTGATTTAATCCAAAATAGCAATCAGAATTAACTAATAGATATGTTCACCTCATCACACTTGAAGGGTCACTTTGGTTCGTCAAATTTATAACTCGTATTATTTTGATCCTTCAAGTTTATAGTTTATGTCACTTTAGTCCCTAAAATTTTCAAAACATACACCTCAAGTGTGACCGTATGAAATATACATGACAATCACTCGTTAGTAAATTTCAACTACCATCTTCAAATATATTAAATTGACATAAATTAAAAAGTTGAGGGACCAAATTAACATAATTTAAAAATTAGAGACCAAACTAACACAAAAACACATAATAAAACGAAAAAGATTTATTTTATCCAAAATATTATTGTATTTAAAATATTTACCCGATTTGTTTACTGATAGTAAATTTTAATAAATGCAGAACCCCGAGGTATATCAACATTTTAGGTGCAAATAGAAAAGAATATGTTTCACGCGGTGGAGGGGAAACCTGAAACAGGTCGCAGCTGGTGAGAGAGATTGAGATTTAACTGAAAATATGTAAGGCAGCCATTCTGCTGGACTGGACAAATTGCAAATGACGCCATATGGAGGGTTCCGTCGGGTACCCATCACCAGTACGCCGCTTAATTTATTGAGGGGGGTGGGGTCCATTGGATAAAATATCCGAT